CACTGACGCCCTTGAGGTTTCGATCAATGCCACTCAGAGGCTGATCAACGACTTTGTTTATATTGACATCCCTAGAGATTTCAAAATCATACATCCACACCCCTCTTGGCATGGAAAAAGACCTAAATACCCTTTGACTAGTCAACAATTATTTTTAAATCATGAAATTACCTGAATGCCTTTTCTAACTACCTATATACAACTATATATATATATTATATATATATATACACACACACACACACACACACACATATACGTATCTACAGTGACGGACACAGGAATTTTTGTGAGGGGTGACAGCTTTTTAATTTGTAGGGGCAACCTTATATAGTGGGTTCATTTTTGTAATTTAAATGAAGTTTTTTTTTCATAAATTTTTTAAAATTTTAAAAAAAAGTAGTGGCGACGAATTGTAATTTTAGTGGGTGTATTTACATAAATTCTTAAAAATTTAAAATATCCCCCCTATGTCCTTTTGTTTGGGGGGTTATTTTTATCATATAACATGCTTGATTTTTTTTTAAATAAAATTGAATAAAAAATTCAGAGCATTTATGACCTTTAAAATTTCGGAGAGTGTCAATATAAACAAAGTAATTGACCAGTTGCTGAGTGGCGTTGACCGAAATCTCAGGGGGTATCGGTGCAATTTATCCTTTAATACATATTATTATATATATATATAAATATATATATTGTTTTTTTTGTCATTTTATCAATATAATTATAAGTAAAATTATTAATTTGGAACTTATAGCTAGATGTTTATTATTTTTATTTTCGTAAATTTTATATTCTTAATTAGCCCAAAATATATTTTAAATTGAATTGAGTCCTATTTTTAAAAAATATATATATATATAATTACAAAACACATGTTGCATTCTAAAAATGTTAAAAATGTATTTTAATCGTTTCCATACCATATTTCAAATGTCTAATCATAAAATAAAATATTCAATTTAAAATACTATTTGTATCCCTCACGCATTCAAACCATATTTATGTCATATTTATGTATCACCGGAAGGATCGAAACCACATTCGTAGGCCGACAATTTCTCTGTTTTCTTCTGGATTACTATTTGAGTATGTATAACGCTCAATGTTGAATGGTATAAAGCTTGAAAAGGTCAAATGAAAAGGAGCAGCCAAGAGTAAACATGTCAAGGCATTGCGTGGAGAGGGGTGACTTTTTATATAAAAGACAAACAAAATGGACCTTTCATAATGAATGACATTCTGGATTACGGAATGTTTGGCCCCAGTCACCAGTCAAATGAAAATTGAAAAATATGAAAGGAGCCGACACCTCTTACGACTATGTATCTCGTATGAATATTGACTTTGTCTGAATTTATTATATCACGATTATAATTGATATTACGAATTATGTTCACGACCCGACATAGTCTGCACTTAAATTCATATTTAGATATTTTTATAATATTTTATTTTGAGCCTTTTTTATTATATTTAAAGATTTTTAATTAAATTGAATCATGTTCTAGCACCATTTAATAATTTCTCAATTTTGACAAAAATGTACTCCGTATTAAATAGAAAGCCACTTGGGTTTACTACAAAACCGTCAAAATTAGGTTAATTTATTTATTTATTTTTTAAGGATAGTTGCATGCTTTTAAAGAGTGTAGGGGTGTCAATTCGTATTCGCGGGTCGTAATCGTGTCATACCGATTTAAGTATATTCTACAAAACAGCTAAACCTGAATACGACTCATTTAATAATTATGTCAAGAACTATCAACATTAACTCGACCTGTTTATTAAATGGGTTACACGTGTAACTCGTTTAATAATCTATTTACAAAAATAAAATATTATATTATTTAAATTATTAATAATATAAATACTAAAAAAATATAAATTCAATTCAACCAAATTACTAAATAGCCTCTAGTTTACACAACTGTAAATTATAAGACACAAGTTTAAATAGTAATTTTGGAACTTAAATAGAAATTTATTTATGAGATTTATAGTTAAACGTGTATAAACAGGTTACGGGAACTGAATCTCTCAACCCAAACACGACATGATTAATTAAACGAGTTAATTGTGTCGATCCATTTACGACCCAAACCCGTTTAATTTAAATCCAAACCTGCTTAACTCGTGTCAAATTTTGACACCCCTAAAAAAGTGGCTTAGAATGTAATTGACAATTTTTTTAAAAAAGGTTATTAGAAAAGAGTAAAAATGGATTTGATTTCATAAAATTGTGAAATTATTAATATTTTTTTTTAAGAAACTAAAACCAAACTAAACTTTAATTTTTAATATAACATGAATTAATGAGCTCGTGAAATTCTTCCTATGATCCGGACAACTCAACCTCATTGTTTGTATAATTATAATAACCCACTTGACACAAACAAGTAAAATGACACAATATGCATAACTTATTAATAAATAGGTTATGACTAAACATGATACAACACGGTCTGATAAGACATCTAAATAAAGTGACATTAACAAAAAAATAAAATATTTATGTGATATATTTAATTAAGCGAGTCGATTTTAATACAAATACGATCCGCTTATCCAATATATATAAGATAAAAGAAAAGGTTATAAAGTTGGAGAATAGACTTGACTTGGACATATTGAAAACGTCCTCATTTTGAGCATTAACGAACTCATCATCCTTTTCTGGTCATAGTCTTACAATACTGCTTTTTCAAACTCGTTTTTGCTTTCCAACTAAATTATCACTGAGGATATATCGGTCCAAATCAAATATCATATTAGAAAAATACTAGTAGTTTGTCACTGAAAGATTAAATTTTGTCTACAGAACATTCTCAAATTTCATTTGATGAGTTATTATTCATAATTTGTATTGAGTATTATTAGAAACTTAGTGACAATTATGTTACTTAATCTGTTATATATATATATATATATATATAAATTCTATACAGTTTTGCTCAATTGTTTTTTGGTGAATGGTAAGCAATTTGCTCACTTTTAATCATAGTCTTAAGATTTAATCATAAAGTTAACAAAAAAAATAGTTATTTTATCCTCCAAATACATGTTATTTACAAGTCTTGCATTTGCCATTACAAATTGGACATCTCAAAATCAAAGTTAGGCTTAGGACCTCATGAGTCATGACAAACTATAATTTATGATGAAAATGACATATTTTCATGATAAATTTTCAATGTCTTGATTGGAAAAACGTTTTCGTTTCGAAATTGGATGCACTGATTGGATAATTGGGACAATGAGTGGCTGCTATGTTGAGTTTGTGACAAAAACTGGAGGTGGAGGTGGTGGTGGCGAAACTATCGATACAAGGGACGAAATGTTAACAGAGATTGGCTTCTTTGTTTTTTTTATTTTTTTATTTTTAATGTCAAAGCAAATTTATTATTCTTAGAAATTTATTATTTTTAAGGTTAAAATTTTTTTTTTTAAGGTTAAAGCAATCTGAATACAAGGGAAATCCAAACAAACCCTAAAACATCCAGCACTTTTTATTTATTTATTTTAAAGATATTAATATGCTCTCACATATGCATTGAAGCTGAATGGTTGAAATACTTTGGTTTCAAACAAATTAGAAAATGGTGTCCAAGTAGATTACGTTTTCTGAATAATTCCAAATTAATTTAAGCAAGTTTCTGTATCTGCCAAACCAATCTTATGGACAGCCCTTGTGAGAAATTATAACTTCAAAAGTCAAAATTAGGTTTTGTTACATAGAAAATCAAAGTATGCCATTAAGATCTTTCTACAACGTACAATTTTCTCTTTTAGAAAATACAATGTATGTAGTGCATACATGTCACTAAGAGTAGGACCGCCACCTCACCCGATGGAGTGGTAGGAAGCAGCAGCAGTGGAAGCAGTAGCAGAAGGCACCACGGTGGTGGTGGGGGACAACAATGGAAGCCAGCCTTACAGAGCATCGCAGAGGTTCCTCAGCGTTATTTTTAATTATTTTAGATGAGACACTTATTATTGGACAAATAAAAATAAAAAGTTGGACACGGACATAAGAATTATTTTATTTGAATAATGTAATCGTGATTACTCTATTTAATATACCATAAAGGAGAAAACAATAGAATAAATTAGAACACAATACGGTAGAACCTTGATTTTTTTTTTTTTTTAAACCTTTGAAGGAAGATCTGAAGCAAGAAATGTAGAAAAAATAAATTTGCATATAAAAAAGCAGAGAAAATAAATATGTGCTTAATTAATTAAAATAATTATATTATTGTTGCCTCTAAAATAAATAATAAAATTGTCGAATAGTATTTTATTTTGTTATATATTGTTACTTCACTAAAAATTTTATTCCCTTGTATCATTAGAACCAAACCAATAGAAGAAGCCCAGTCAATTTTTTTATTTTTTAAAAATTTCTTTATATTATTATTTTTCTAAAATTTTAAGCGTATTTTCTTATATTATTTTCTTACTAGCATTGTGCCTGATATCATAAATTGTTCATCAAGGGTACATTGGTCCAATTTATTAACTTGAAAAGTTAAAAAGGTCCCCTAAATGGTTAAAGGGCAATTTGGTCAAATTTCATACCAGTTGGCTACATGGGTACCTTTGTCCACTTTTCAACCTTCAAAGAGTATCATTGTCCATAAAATAAATAACTTACACATATGTATCTTTTTGACAAACTTTCGAGATTGTTGTTGTACTTTATCTTAAATATATTTTCAACAATTAAAAAAAAAAAAAAAAAAAAAGAAACTTGAAAATTTATATGCCGACATTATATTCATACCATTAATTACTACTTGCCCTCCTCGGAAATAAAATGATAAATAAAATACTTACCCTCCTATTGCCAAGTCAAAGTCTTGCATGGACCAAATCATACACGCACTAGTAACCTTCTGGAAAATTGCGTGCCAAACTTGAATTTGAAACAACGTGCCTTTTACTTGGCACTTTCCATGGACTTGGCATTATAAATACCTCGCCATGTCCCAACCTTATCATTACACAACACATTTCTCTTCTAACAATAGTTACAGTACTTCTTTTCAATATGGTTGCTTTCAATTTAGAAAAGACCTTACTCATCACACTCATTCTGGCCGGAATCCTCGCCGGATCTCTGCCGGAATCTGTGGTGGGTCAGAACTGCGGTTGTGCCGCGGACCTGTGCTGTAGTAAGTTCGGGTACTGTGGCACTGGCGATGCCTATTGCGGAGACGGTTGCCAAGCCGGTCCTTGCACCGGCACCACCACGCCTACTACTCCTACTCCTAGCGGTGGTGGTTCGGTGGCCGACATTGTGACCGACGCATTCTTTAATGACATCATCGGCCAAGCAGGTGCAGGTTGTGCCGGAAAGAGCTTCTACACCAGAGCTGCATTCATTGATGCTGCCAATGCTTATTCTCAATTTGGCTCCGGCTCTGCTGATGAATCCAAGCGCGAGATTGCAGCTTTCTTTGCACATACTACACATGAAACTGGACGTAAGATTTCATCATCTCTTTCTAAATAAATTGAAATTTATAGGTAGATAGATATACAAAAATATTCTGTATATGCTAGTGCATGCATGTATGTGTGTGTGTGTATATATATATATACACTTTAACAAAATTGGACAATACAAATATATTTGCATAGACCTGCATATATATTATTTCAAGTGGGTTGTAGGCTTGTCGTTGTAGCTCATTATGGTAAAAGTAATATTAACAAAATTACATAGACATATATATTGGTAGTCAGACATCTCACTAATGAACTAATTTGAGCTTTTTTTTTTTTTATACGGTAAAATGAACAACACACACTAATATTATATATATTTATATATAAACAAAATTTTCTTGTTGTTTATTAAATTTATGGGTTGTAGACATGCACACATAAGCAAAAAATTGAAGTTTCTAATTGCTCTTTGCTATGGTAATTTGAACGTCCTATACAAGTAATAAACTCTGATCATAAATCTTGAATATTATAACAAGCAAATTTATTAATTAAATCTTTTGTTTGTGCAGACTTTTGCTATATTGAAGAAATAGATGGTGCCTCCAAGGACTACTGCGACGAAACAAATACACAGTATCCATGTGTAGCAGGCAAGGGTTACTATGGCCGAGGTCCTATTCAGCTATCATGGAACTACAATTATGGTCCAGCCGGACAAGCTATCGGGTTTGATGGACTAGGCAACCCCGACATTGTGGCCTCAGATGTAGTTGTGTCGTTCAAGACGGCCTTATGGTTTTGGATGAACAATGTTCACTCTGTCATCGGACAAGGGTTCGGGGCAACAATCCGGGCCATCAATTCTATGGAATGTAATGGTGGAAACCCTGACGCCGTTAATGCTCGTGTATCGTATTACACGGACTACTGCAACAAACTTGGTGTCGCCCCGGGCGATAATCTCAGCTGCTAGGTCACACATTAAAGTTATTCTATTAAATGAATTAATAGACAATAAAGAGTAGTGTGAAAAAAATTGTTTAGGTTCTTATTGATACTTTCCTGTATTTTGGACCTAATCATATACTCTTTGACTACTTGTTTTGATATATGATCCAGAAGGGATTGAAATAAGTAATATGAATCAAAATGTATCCTTTGGTTCATCCTATAGCAATAAAATTTTTGCATTTATACATTATTTAACGTACATAAAAGATAGATTAGGAGGTGAAAAGAACTAAAGCAGAACAATTAAAATTAAGAGTAGTTTTGATTTGCGAACTAATCTTCTGGCCTTGTTTTGTTAGACCTACGCTATATATCTTTGATAATAGCTAATTAATAGGAATTATCTGCAAAACACTACTAAGATACTTCCATGCACATAGCCAAACAAAACTTTCATAAGCTAGATTTGGGGTCTCTCTCATCTCCAAATACTTTTTCATGGACTTTCAACATATTCTAAGTAAGGTGGATAATTTTTTTAGTTATTGGTATGACACAGTTTACAACGGGGATTTGGAGTCTTTTTTTCAAACGAGAGAATGCGAATTTGAGTCTAAAATATAGCCAATTTCTGTGCAAAAGATTTAATGGAAACCACATTAAAGCCCTATCCCCTCCCCCACAATCAGTTCACTGGAGCTCATGGTTTGGTTCAGTCCTGCCATCCCAAACATTGCTTCGTAATTTGGCTAGCAATGCAAGAAAATTATACACCAAAGATAACCAAACTTTGAAGTTTCTAACTCGAACTAAGTGTATGTGTGTTGTGCTATGTTGACGCTGAATCTCAGGATCAGTTATTTTAAAGTGTCCATAATCTACCAATATCTGGAATTTCAACCAAAGCTTCCATGTTTTCTAATTGGCCTGACTTCCTCACTTCCACCAAATATTGGAAATCAAAATCAAGTAGAATTCTGTCTTCTTTTTTTTTTCGTTCATTATGTTCAGGGACGGAGCCAGGATGTAATGTAAGGGGGGCAAAAATGGGCAAAAATGAATTTTGGAGGGCAATAGCGCATTTTTTTTAGTAACTTTAAGCGGGACAAATGTAATATTTCATAGGTATATTACTGAAAATGAACAAATTATAAAGGTAGAATGCTCAAAAAAAAAAAAATTCTTCAACTTGGATCTGTCCCTGATTCTGGTTTTTTTTTTTTTTGTTTAATTTTGTTGAATGGTAAGCTTGTATAAGTAGCCGATGCAGAGTTTAATTCACTTAGGTATTTCGGTTTTTGGTTGCCTGTTTGGGTCGGTGTTTCTTTTATTTATTTATTTATTTTTTATTTTTTCATTAAAACCGAGAAAGGAACTGCACAAGAAATATAGGCAATAGCCCACAAGCTAAAAACCTACAAGTCCAAAGCTAACAAGAGTAAAGCAAACACCCAGACAAAGCAGCCTAGCCCAATGACAACTGTGCCAACTGGAAAAAGCTAGAGCAAAGGGTTAATTGAAGCAGGGGAACTAGGGATCAAGGAAAACTATGCTAGGAAGACTCCACGAGGCAGCAACTGCTCTAGATTCCTTGCAGTCGCGGAGTTTGCAAGCCATCAGTCTACTACGGATATTATTGTACATGATCTTTCTCACAGATGCTCGGGAAGCTTGCTTATTGGAGAAATGGCGTCTATTCCTCTCTCTCAGGGCGGAGCCAAAAATTTGAGATTGAGAAAGTGAGTCTGGACTATATAATTAAAGTTAGAAAAATTTATATTTAAAATATTATTAAATTTGAGCTTTAAAAAATGTAGTTAAAAAAGTACATCCAAGTTATAAATTTACTAAAATTTAAGGAGACACTATTTAAAATTATTTTCAAATTCTTTATTTTGGGTCAATATATTAGGCGTGTGCAAAAAAACCGTCAACTAGAAAAATAAACCGGACCGCACCGAATCGGGCGGTCTGGGCTAGTTCCATAGCGATTCGGTCCGGTCACGATTCTAAAATAATGGAATCGTGAATTTTTGAGTCGGTCCCGGATTAGGGTCCTATAGAACCGGACCATCCCAGATCGAACCGTTATAATACATATATATATATATATATATATATTACTCTTAACTTTGCAAGAAATTTTGGCACAATGATTAAACGTGAGCCAACATTTATCGCTATCTGATTATTTATTTATTTATTTATTTTATTATATATATATATATTTTTGCTTTTGTTTCACCCAATGTTATGATTTTTGGGTGCATGCCAACATTTCTCCACTATCTCAATTTTTTTTTTTTTTGCTCATGCCGTCTCATTCACATTTTTTTTTTTTTTTTTTTTGGTTAAATGGTAAGCTTGTATATAAGAAAAAGAATGTACAATGAGGCCCAATTTGGGGAGGAACAACAAATATATATAATCAACGAAGACCAATATTGGCCACCAGAATTAACTAATAGTAAATAAAAGTAATACAAAATGCCAAAAGTCTACATGTTCTTGACTCACTCCTAGAGCCAGTAATGTAGTCATACGATCACTGCACACCTTAGGAAAGTAGCAAAGGTTGCCTACAGGCATTGTCATAGCTGTAATATCCCTAATTTTTAAAAGGGTAGTCTCACTATTATTTTAATTATTTTAATTGCATTTTACTTGTTTATTTGATTTCTTGGCCAATTGTTTACTTATTTAATTGATTTAATTGTTTATATGTTAATTGAATTATTTGTTTAAATTAAATTGTGCACTTGATTTATTTATTTAATTTAATTGGTATGTGATGATATGCATTTGTTTAGGAATTTAATTGATTTTTTTAATTTTAATTTTATTTTTATATATTTTATTTTTCATTTTTAAAGGAATTTGATATGGATAGTAATAATGGACTAAGCAATTGGGTCCCATTGACTATTTGGATAGGAGATTAAAAAGGTACGAATAATTACCCATGGATAGTTGTGTGTGTATATATATATATATATATATGTAGATAGATATATTTATATATAAGGGAAGTAATTTATTAATTAATATTATTTATAATATATGTATTAGTAAAAAAATGATATAGTCTGATATATATTTATATTGTAATGACCCGATCATTTCCTTCCTTTCTTTATTTCCTCAGGACTTTACGAATGATTTTTTTTCGTTGAAATTTCTTTTCTGAGTTCAGTTTCTTGTCACTTAGTGTCGTTTCGAGTGCTTGTAAATGATTTCTGAGACTCTTTCCTTTGGATTGACAATTTCCTTTAAGGACCGAGTTATTTTCACATTTTTCGTTTTTAGACACTATTCACTTTTCGTTATTTTTCCTATTTTGTCTTTTCCCCGTTTGTCATTTTGTTGGTATAACCTCACTTTTTGTGTTCGGAGTTGAGTTTTAACTTCATGTACCTTCATTCTAAGTGGTTTCCACGAAATACGTATCTTTACTTTTGTAGGAAAGTACTCTGGTTACTCCCGGTGTCCATAGGGGCATGGATGCATAATTCTTTAGAAATATTTTTGTTTCTTGGGGTGTTTTTCGTAAATATCTTTTGAAGATATTTTATTTCAGGAGTTTTTAAGAAAATATTTTTGGAAGATATTTTCATTTTGAGTCATTAGTGTAGTTTTCACTTTTTGGAGGGGCCATTGTGTAATTAATGAAAGTTATTGCAAAAATGCCTCGATTTGAGCCTGGATCCTCGTACGGGATTCATTTTCACTTTTCGTTGAGTCGTGTACTCTTAGAATTGCCTTTTGGTCATTTTCCCCAAGTTTCAAGGTTTCTAACTTTTGTTTTTCGGGGTATATCTCTCTGGTCGGGACTCAGTTTTTGACGCCGTTTATTCCTTTGTTCATATTTTCATATTTCGGTTCTTTTTCATTCACGGAGTTTTGTCATTTGAGCGCGTCTGCTCAAATTCCACTTTTCTGAACCCGGCGGGGCCCTTTTGGAGCACTTTTAGGGTTTTCCTATAAAAGGGGGGTGAGACATTTCATTTTTGACCTTCTCCTCTCTTCATGCATGACCAGCAACTGCCATGGCAGCCCAATGGGAGCTGCCACTCTTCTTCTCTCAATTAAACCTTATTCCCTTTGTTAAAAAGTCATAGTGCCTTTACGTTTTGTGTTTGTCTTGATGACGCGAATCTTTCCCCCTTATTAGAACCCGTTTTTAGCCAAATTTTGAGTTTGGGTTTGAGACCAAGTTAGGATTTTGGTAAGTCCTCTTTGGAGTTTAATGTTCACCGTGTTGTCCTCGACAAAACCCCGAAGTATCGTCGGATTTGGAGCAGTTTCATTTTGGTGGCTTTTGAGATTTTCATCTCAAATTGAGGTAGGGGTGTCTTTAGTTTATATTAATGTTATATTGATTGTTTTATAAGCATATACAACTTGTGAGCATGCCTTTGTTCAAGATCTAGAATTTAATTTAATTATTTTCTATATTTAAGATTTAATTCTCATGATGGTAGGCACCTTGGAATTAAATTGTGGCATGCTAGTAAATTAGGCCTTAGCATGTTTATCAACATATATTAAATTGAGAGCATTTGAATACGAATTGCAAATTTTATTTAATATTTATCTTTTATGAAAGTTTAATTCACATAGTTGTATCAAGCATGAAATCAACTTGTAATGTGATATTAAAATAGGACTTGGTGAGTTTTTTAATATATGTTAATTTGAGGATATTTCGAGTTGTTTAATAATCTAGAAAAAATTAATTAATTAGCTTAATTAATTTTATTTTAAGTGCTGTAGTCACTTAAATTGATTTTGGGTAGAATATATGTGAAAGCCATGTTATGTCCTTTCACATATATTAATTTGAGCCTAATTGGAATTTTTTTTAAATCTAGAGACTTTTTATATTAGGGTGATGATCTCATGAAATGTAGTGCAATAAATTACCTTGTGAGCATATTACTAATTAGGTGTAGAATTAACACTTGGGGTATTTTAAAATGGTAATTGGTCTTAGCATAATATGTGATATCATTGTCTTGAATAACTTGTTTAAATATATCTTGTGTAGGTATATAGCTTGTTAGAATATCACAATTGTTTACCTTGAAAGCTTGTTGCTAAATTGAAGCTTACTTAGTACTTGTGTCTTAGGAGGGTAATGTGGTTCAATTGTTGTAAAATATTCTTACTTTGTGTATAAATTGCATATTGAGGACATGACATGTCATATGCTATTTAGACTTGAATTCTATGATATGGTTTGTATGGATT